CAAGAGAACACGATATGAGATTACTATTTTGAGTTTCTCTTTCTGCCTTTCCTAGATATATGCAGCTACAATTGTCTAAAACTAGAGGTCACACTGAGAACATATTGTCAGAAGTATGCATGTGCAAAAATTCTGAGTGGTGGATTGGCAGCCTCTGCTTGTTTGGAACGTTGCAAGGAGAAATATATTGTTCTGGATTAGTGGACACTGGAACATTTTTTAAAAATCTCAAGTAAAAGAAAGGTTAATTATAAAAATAAGGAAAATTTTAATTAAATAAATAAAAATTGTTATTCAGAATTTACTCATGAAACAACAGAAGTAAAGCAAAACTCAAATTCAGTAAAATTGCTTTCTAGAAGGAGACATTGTACTCTTCAATTAAAATCAAAACCAGACAAGAGGCAACAAACTACAGCTTTGAGTAACATGACAGAAACAGAAAGATATGGAAAAAGAGGGAGTCATAAACACAGCTAGAATAATAGATACAGACAAAAAAAGGGAACAGGAAAGATAAAGCAAAAGCGCCAGAAACATGAGGAAAGCAACTAATGTGGGGTCTACAAATCCCACTCCAGACATCTTTTACGTACTAATAATCAAATGTCCTAGTAACTAAGAAATTTGAAAGTCTCTTTTCAAATTAATTTATTATTCATTTAAACTTAGAGTTAAAACTTAGCTATCCTGTGTTAATTTAAGGGAAAAAGAACCATAAAACAACTTTGTATTAAGGAACATTTATGGTTATATTTAAACTCCCAAACTTGCCTACCTCTTTCAGGGAATTGGAGTATCACAAAATCCTTCAAATTCAGTTCAGAGAGTTTGCACACATTTTCAAGTTATTTCTGAGAATTTATCTGCCTTTTAACATTTAACTGAAATTTCAGAACCTTTAAACTAGAGTTTAGAACAACTCTCAAAGTTGTACTAGGCTTGCTGCACTGTATCTGAATAGTTTGGAATATTCTTAATATATACTATCTGCCTTCAACAAAATATCTAAATATACTTTTATCTTAAATACTTAAGTTATATAAACCTGTTCAGCTATAACATGAATAATTGACATAGTTTTTAGAGGAATGTTGATAAAGAAAGCTTAAGGGCTGGAATTTATATATATGTGTTTTAAAAAATAATAAAGCTGTCTTATCATAATCTTCTCTACAATATTCTCTTTAGTTTCATTCTCTGGTTCATCAAAAAAAAGAAGGTTCAAGGTTCCTACCTTATATACTTTTCCAGCAAATGCCATTAAAAGTTTAAGATTATTTTTAGTTAAAGATGAAACAATGGTGGGGAGGGAGCAAGGAACATACACTGTCTATTCCACTTTATGCTGTGTTATATCATCTCACTTGTCATATACTTCTTGTATATAACAAAAGCAAACCCAACACCTACCCCTCTATCATTCAGATCCTCTATTAAGAGGAAATCTAGCAGTAAAGATAAACAAAGTAATTCCATCACTTTTTCTAGACAATACTACTAGCAAGTTGAGAAATCTATTTATTAGATTTTGAAATGAAATAATTAGGGGATTATGTAAGGAAACAAGGAATTAAATTTTATCGCAATTCTTAATCGCAAACCTTGTTTACAAATTTAGGTGGTCCTAAAATAAAGTGTCAGATTTTTTTAAAAGTATAAGTCAAGGTTTGATACAGGAAAAAAAGAATTTGAATATTACCAGAATGATGAATATCAGTGTAATACTAATATATCAATGTACTGTGTTTTAAATTTATTAAATGTATCAATAATTTATTAAAATTTATTTTAATATATCAAACAAAATTTAACTTTTTGCCTGTGAAAGGCTTTTCGATGATATAGAATTTTTGATAATTTCTAAAATTTCATTTAATTTTTGTAATAGGTAAGTTATAGTAATATGCTGATTAAAACAAAATAATTGTTACACGATTTTCTTCTTGCAAAGATATTATGAATTTCAAGTGGAAAATCTAATTATTATAAAAAGAAAAACCAATAGAAAAGCAGTATTTTCAAAATATACTTGATAACCTGTATTTTAAAGAATTTATATATCAAATTTTTTGTTATTTTAAAGGGAGCTTACATGCCTTACTTTCTGGCTGTAGGTTTGTTTAATGGGGAATTTATTTATTCATATTATAAGCTTTGATTTTAAAACTCATATGAAATGTTACTTAGTCTTAATAATACTTCATCTAAACTTTTACCATTTCTAGTCTAAACAGGGAGTATTCCACTAGAGTTATTTATCCTTAAATCTTCCAAGGCACTATAACTAGTCCCTCTACAGAGCGTTCAAAAAATATTTACTAAGTTGAACTTCTGATTACTAGCACAGTTTAGTATCAGGGTTGGAATTTTTACTTCTCCAACTTTTATGGTATTTTAGTAACTCAAAAAATTACTGGCTTGCTACACAGAGCCAAATAGTTTTAACTACTATAACCAAAATTCAACAGTCAGGAGAGGGTACAGTGAACACAGGCTTCTACTCCCCCCTCAAACTGTTTTTATTTTCTTAACAGCAGTGCTGGATGCTTTATCTTCCATCTGTCCATAGATAAAACAATGAAATGAACAAAAAAGCAAAGAACAAAAAGTAGGTCACTTAGATAACTTATAAATTAGAGACAGATAGAAAAAAAATCATCAAGCTAAATTATAAGACCTCAAAAGATCTACTAAAAGTTGATACCATTATAAAAACATTTTCTCCTGGTGACATATCACTAACTAGGGGGTGACATATCACTAACTAGGGAGAATTAGCTGTACAATGTCCAACCATTAATTAGAGTTAGCATTAAGAACACAGTAACAACGGACAAAAAAATACGGGTTTAAACCCCAAGTCCCCCTGTAAGAGCTGTGTGACCTAGGTAAACCTGGGCAAAGCAATTCAACTCTGTACAGTTTCTCCATTCATAAAACCAGTAATAATAAAATCTACCCTGATTATATTACAAAGTTTTCATGAGACCCAAATGAGGTAATACGTAGAAGTATTTTGGAAGTCATTAAAAATCTTGCAAAAAATTAAAAGGAGGATCCTTATTTTAATTAAGTAAAGTATAGTTCATTTTCTACTTTTTTTAAGCGCAGGATATATTTTAAATCCTTTTTAGTCTATGTTTTGTCTTTCTCAGTTTGAATATTCTAAGGATACGATCCAATTCCACTTATTACATAAAGCTGTTTCTTCTGCCCTTTAGAGGCTTTTCTCTTATTCTTGGAACAGGAAAAATATCTTTATCTAAAACTCTTATTAAAACAATTTTTATGACAGGAATGTAACTAATCCCTTAGCTAATTCCAAAGAACATACATATAATATGGCTGACTTCTATTCCTGGCTATATCACGAACTTGTGATGGTCTAAGAGCAAATCACTTCAATCTCAATGTATTCCAATTTCTATAACATAAGGTGGAATATTAGTGTGATCAACTTACCTGATGAGGAAAAATTCACCTTTGTAGCTTAAAGGTGAAAGCAGTATTCAAGTACGAGAGAAAACTTTCCCTCCACTCTACTAACACACCAATGCCTTTTAAAAATATGAAATTACTAAAAAAAAAAGTCACTAATGTATGTATAGGCCACAAATTGTTTTCTTTTGAAGCTATAAAGACAAATTGAGAAATAACTAATATGTTTTTTAAACAGAGATGTCCCAAAAGGGAGCAAACCAGAAACACAAGGATAGAAAAAGAAAGAATTCTTTACCAGCATATTTAAGTATTTGCTTAAAAAAAAATCTCCTCTATACACATATCACTAAGGAAATCCATCTGTCACTAAAACTGTACTCCAAATAATTAAATCTTTTTTAAAAAATAAGAATTTGACAAATCTTTATTCTTACCTTATGTACACAAAGGCATCCATAAAGACAGCCAACTTAATTCCTTCACTAATGAAAATTCTATCTTCTTACTCCTCCCTCTAATCTTATTGATTACTTCTTACTACGTAGAAGTAACTTAAGTATAGTATCACTTTCATGAAATTTTTTCACACACCACTGTATTTCACAAATGACACTTTTGAAATTTTTCTTTTGCAAAATGTGCACACACTGTTAACTGTAATGCTTCATAATTCATTACTAGAGGTTTCTGTAATTGATTTTTTAAAAAATCTAAAGATGCTGAAATAGTAGAAATACAAGTTTTTCTTTATTTTGTTGAAAGGTATCCCTGATATATAGGAAACAGATTTAAAATACGTGACTGTATAAACAGCAGTATTTGAGGAAAACTTTATACTTCATATAGTGGTTACACAGACATGGTACCACTGCACAGTAATCTGTATGTGATATTAAACCACTACAATTCCAATACTCAAAAAAATGTACTAAAAATCTACATAAGAAGCAAAATGTAGAGGGGAAAGGGCCTGCACACAATAAATATCTAACATACTATAATTTGATAAAAGACAAGAATGCCTTTAATTTTAAAATGGGTGTATTAGGAGGGGGGCGCCTGGCTGGCTCAGTTGGAAGAACATAAGACTCTTGATCGCAGGGTCATGAGGTTGAGACCCACATGGGTGTAGAGATTACTTAATAAATAAAACTTTAAAAAATAAGTAAGTAAAATGGGTTTACTGGAATCAGTTTCTGCTGTACCAAGAGGACTTTTGAAGTACAATAACACAATACAAATATTTAGAATTTCTTCACATGGTTTTCCAAAATTTTTCTTATCTATATTGTATCTTCATACTTGCGAGTTTCTCAAGTACCACTGTTAAAACTATTTTAAAAACCAAATTAGTTATCACCAAGATAACTGTATTGTAATACACACTATTTTCTTTTAAATTTAACTTAAGTGTACAATACAGAACTCTTTTTTAAACTTACAGGCAAAATAATGTCTAAACAGACTCCTAAGTGGATTTCCTTTGTGATATGCAGAGTACCTGCAAGCAGTCCCCAAATCTTTAACAGCTATAAAATGAAGAGACTGATAATTACCATATTGAAATAAGATCGAATTTTGACTCCTCTTGCCAGATCCCACACTATCACGTTTCCATCGTGACCAGCAGAAAAGAGAACTCTCGGATCGAATGGGTGTGGCTCAAGGACAAATACCTCATCTTCATGACCCTGAAATATTTTTGAAGTGGCAAAGAATTATAAATTCAAAAAAAGGAAATTCAATCAAGCATCAATATGGCAACACTTCTAGAATTTGAAATCTAAGAATTAATGAAGTAGCAAAAATCTTCAAATTTATCAATGTATAATAATGAAGCTGAGCTAATACCACCAATCACGGCTTTGCTATCATTTGGTGAAACCTGAGAATAATATTGATGCAGCCCTACATACTAAATAACAGCAAGGATCTAGAGTTCCAAGCCAAACCAGTTTAACTACATTTTAAAATTATTTCTAATCTCCCACAAAGACCTATTATCCATCTAGCAAGATTTTTAAGCTAACTTCTTATAAAAGACTTTACTTCTCAATGAAAATAGTCCATTCTATAATTAGCTTCATTATGCCAAATAAAAATGAGTCTTTTTTTCTCACCATCAGGACATGAATTAGTTGACCGGTGTAAGAATTCCAAACTTTCAGAGTCATGTTATTAACTGCGGTTATAACTGTATTGTCATGTCGATCCCAAGCTACCATAGTTACTTTCATTTTTGTAATTTTATCTTCTACTCCTTGAAGGTTTTGGCTGAAAGTGATGGAGGCAGTATTTGTTTACACTGATATTATGTATTAAAATACTAGTATGACAAAAACTTAAATGTTTTCTTATAATTTATATTTATATTCATTACATGGATAATATCACTTAATAGTAATTAATAATTTGAATCAACAAAGAATGAGGGCAAAAATCACTGCAGAGTCAGCAAATCCAGGATTTCAGCACTCCTAAGCCCTTAGTAATAGATGACCTTGAGCATGTTATCAATTAACTCTATCTGGATCCAAGAGTTCTGTGCCATGGCTGCTCACTCTCCATCTTTCAATGCTGCTATCATGCCCTAGAGTTAACTTATTAAATACTAAAACCAAAATAACAGTTATAAGGTGAAATATAATTTCTCATGGCTGGAGAAAACCATTAGATATACCATATCATCCCTCTGTGACATACTATATCATCTCTCTCTGACAGATGAACAATACAAGTATGTCCCACTTTCTGAAGAAAACTAGCAAAACTTACAGATATTCCTACAGTACTATCATTTCCTTAACAAACTGAACTAAAAAAAGTCATTCATGCAGATTTTCTCTATTTTTGGCAAAAAATAATTTCAGAAATATCCTCTTTCCATCTCCAACAGCACTAATTATTATAGAAATCATTTTTACATGGATTATGACATATGATTTATAGGCTGAGAGTCACACCAACCTATAATATAGCATACTTTAAATGATCTACCTTTATCTATGTAATATTTCAAATTTGATCTCTTACCCTGCTGGACGAGTAGCCATATCCAACAAAATGCTCTTCCATTCTCTTCGTTTAAATTGCCAAATACGTGCTGTCCCATCACGACTCCCACTTACAAATCTGTATTAAAGGAAGCCCAACCCCCCAAAAAAACCACATGTACTTAACTAAAATGTGTTTTCCCAGAGATATTTTTCAAAATACTAAATGAGAGCATTCATCTTTACTTACATAGCATTCTAATACAATTAAAGATTACTCTGTCCGATATTCTCTGTAAAACTAAGAACTTCTGCAACTTTATGGGCTTTTAAAATTTTATACACATACATTCTAATGTGTTTGGCTAGGTGGCTAGGTCTCAAAATAACATTCAACAGTGATTCAAGGCCACTATTTACTACCTTACAAATAGAATCAGTATTTCCCAATGGAAAAATACTGATTTTCCTCTCAATATTAAAGAATGTGACTTATAAATAGTATTTATAAGTAACTTTCCTTCATTTTAAAATAAGAACCTGGGAAAATTTACACATCATTTAAGCTTATCATCAATAAATAGTTCTGCCTCAAATATTACATTGTTACACATTTCAAAACTCTACTAAAAAGTTTCCCTACACTTTGACATCTATAGAAAATATAAAGGGTGGATAAAAGTCCCTATTATTAAAAGTGGACAAATTAACTAATATAAATACAAATAAAATGAAGATGTGCTCAGGCTACAGTCACTTTTTAGTATAACTGGTCAAGATCTTTATTTTAGGTAGCTAATTTGTCTATAATTCTAATTAAAATCTGACTACAAGAAATGTCTTTATTTGAATATTTTAAATTGGAATTAAATTTACAAACAAAAATAATTATTTTACCTGTTGCTAGTGTTGGAAAACTGGATACTGTCAACTTTGTCCTACATATAAGCAGATAAAAAAAGAGAATCCTGAATATAAACTATTAGATTCATTTAAATTGTTCCAATCTAATTCTTTTTACCAGTACTTACAGTATGGAACTCCAATTCTGATATTTTCTCTGGCTGACCTGATCCAAAAAAATAAACCCGAATAATATGATCTGTGCTTCCTGTGGCCAGAAACATTCCACCTGAGGAATAATAGCAAACATTTTTGAGTAAAACATAATTTTAAGATCTTTGAAAATTAAATAAAATGCAAGCAATATTACCATGATATGCACTGATGATTAACATTTTATTCTAAAACACTTCATATTTATCTTAAGTATATAATACATCTAAACCTGTACTTAATGAACTTATAAGTTTACAAACACAGCTTTAACTAGGATGAATTTTTCAATACTTACCGAATATTTCTATTACAAATGACTTCACTAAGTGATTACACAATTTTATGTTAAAATTGGCAGTCACCCTCCCTAGAAAATATGTCCTTTAACTCTGCTTAAGTCCCTCTCTTGCCACATTTCCTATCTGTTAAAATCCTATCAAACTTTTAGGGCCCAATTTCTTCAGTAGGTCGTCTTTGCAATTCTGCAATTGAAAGAGCCTGTTTTCCTCTGAACTCTTACTAACATTTTGTCTTGTAGCACATACATTTTACTTTGCATTATAGTTATTTATATATGCAGTTTACCCTCTATCCTTGGAATCAATACTCTCCCACAGTGTTGAAAACAGTGCTGTATATAACTGCTTACAGAGTACTCTGAAATCATGGATAGTGCCTATAATTGCGTTATTACTAAAAGGAAAATTGTCTTCATGGCAGTAGCAGCGGAAATCTAGAAGTAAGAAATTAAACATGTTTGGATATTAATATAGCAAAAACAGATTTATGTAATTAGTTTGTAATCACCTGTTGAGATACTACTACTATCCACAACTATGAACTGAAAAGATAAGTAAAACTGGAAGTAAATGTGGAAGGAACTGGTATTAGGAACATTAGGTATTAAATCTATTGATGTTTCATTTCATTTTCTCATTATTTCAAATATTCAAATTATAATTTGTTTAAAAAGATATATCCATTTAAAATGCTACTGCATAAACTCAAAACATAATTGGGGTAATCAACATTGTTATATAGCTACCTTTTAAAAAGCAAAGAAGAATTTGGAGCAAAGTAATTAATAAAAACTTACAAATAGCAATCAAATTTCACTTAGCTACAGGATACTTCCAAACTCCATGAAAATATAAAACATATCTAAAATACCTTTCTTCCAATGAGATAACTATTCAAGGATCTATTCTTTAACAGTCAATTCTGAAACTTTTTTTCTCTCCTACCAGAGCATTATGGTCCCAAAGAAAATTCTTAGTCATGTGAATACATAAAATAACTCTAGCAAAGTTCAAATATCCCTAAATTAATTTATGACCATCCCCTGGTATATGTATGTGAATATGATTTATATTACAACAGCAAATATTTTTCCAAAATTTTATGTGTTCTACTAAAAGCTTTCTAAGGTACAACTTTAAGTGGAAAATTAGGGAGAAAAAAATCTTACCAGCACTAAAAGAAGAACAGATCATTTGAACTCCAGGCCGAGGGCGCTCTGTAAATTTAGCAGGTCTCGGACTAGAATACAAAAAATAAACAATTAAAAATATCCCCAAAGGGATCAACAAGACCAAAAATGAGCTGTTCAAAAAAATAATTACAGAAAGATAAAATTAAATAAGAAGCAACAGATGGCTCCCTTCCTAAAAAACAAGTTGGAAATCATTATGTGTCGTGATTAGCAGATTTTATGGCAACTCTATAGATTCTGTAGGAGCTCATGATTACACAATGATCCACACATGAAACACTCTCAAAGCCACTGTCACACCAGACATGTAGTAATTAGTCAAATTTTTTGGGGGGGTCTCAGTTTTTCATACAGTACAACAGCAATGCACAAATACATTAGAAAAGTAAGTCATTTATAAACATGAACACACTAGCAAAATAGGTGCCGCCTCTTGTGGCATATGTATACCATCATGTTTAGGTAATGAACTTTTTCAATATTAGACACTATTAAACATTTCCCTCTGTTTATTGTCTGATGTGCCAAAATACACCTTTTAAGACTCCAGAAACAATCTTACACTCATCCTAGTGAAAATCTGAAAACTGTTTCAATTTTGTCAACTATAATGCTCATTCAAAATAGTCATCTACAGAAAATGGTCATCTACACTCAAATATATTTACATTAATTGTATAATTGTGACAGATGTCTTATATTTACACTACTGACATTAAATGTTTGTTATACTCAATGATACTAAAGAATGAAAAATTACAGATTTTACACCATACCAGCTCCAATAAATATACAATATATCTGTAATGTTCCAATACAGTGATTTTATTTAAAGCCCTACTTAACATACATTTTGACCTAGTTTTTCTCAGGTTATCAGGGGAGAAAAATTCAAAAATAATTACAGCCTCAACCAAAGTGCACTGCATAACGTCTACAATCCATAGCAACTGAATAGAGTGGTTTCAGTTTTGTGATCATATAAGAAAACACTACAAAATATTTATGATCAGTTATATATTTGGAACAAGAACAATCTTTCTTACTGATACAGAGCACAGCAGTATTTGTTAAAAATTCTTTTAATTAATAAATTTATAAATAGATTTTTAAAAGATTTATTTTAGAGAGTGTGCACATTCGCAGGGAGACTGGGCAGAGTGGGGTGGGGGGAGAGAGAGAGGGAGGGGGAGGGAGGGGGGGAGAGAGAGAGAGAGAGAGAGAGAGGGAGAGAGAGACCCAGCTATGGAGCCCTGAGATCACAACCTGAGCTGAAACCAAGAGCTGGTCACTTAACTAAGCCACCCAGGCGCCCCTATAAATAAATTTTTTAATGTGACATAACAATTTTTCTTATTCACAGGATCTGACATAACTGAGCATGAATAGACAGCTTGGAGAAATAGAAAGTTATTAAAACATTCTTACAACCTAAACAATTATTCAGAGTAAAATTAAAGTAACTATAATTTAAGAATTAATCTGAAATTATAAAGGCAACTAAATGCACTACTTTCATTAATACCTTATGGATCCTAACTACATTTTTGTTCATTTTTGGCACAATCATTCATGTAAGTGTTAAGCAACCATTTGGTTGGAACTTACAATCAGAATATGCAAATAATCATACAGATGCCATTTTAAATGGACTTTAATATTTTTAAAGGGAAAAAACAGATACACAGGCACAAATAATTTTTAAATTCACATTTGAGGAAGTATTTTAAGATAAGATAAGGCCATGGATTCAGACTGAGTTCAATTTCCAGCTCTGCCACTTATCAGGTGTATGACCTTAGGCAAGTTAACATTTCTGTACCTCATTCTCCTCATCTGTAAAATGGGGAGTAAAAACAAAACATAATCTTAAGAGTTACTGAGATAATTAAATGAATTTAATCCACAAAGAGTGCTTAGTACTGTGCCCAGCACACTCAATAAGTATTAGTATTATTAATATTTTAATTGACTTCAACCAGTCCTAGACAGTCCATCAATGAGTAATTGCTTTTAGTTTGGTACAGTGGTTAAGAGGGGGTTCCAACAGTATATTTCCAGTATCCACCTCAGTTTTCTCTCCCATCTGTCCTAAAGACAATATTTGTATACCTTCTTCATATGGCTGTCATAAAGATTAACGAGATGACAAATGTAAAGTGCTTAGTACAAGCTTGGCAGACTAGTGCTTAATAAAATTTTATAATCATTATTATCATCTGTATATTTTAGGATTCCCATTCTCCCCTCACATCTAATCTAAAATATGCTTGGACAGCTTTCTCAAATCAGAGATCTCTTCAGCCAGCTTCCAAATTACCCAGCCACTCCGGAGTTTCTCATCTACAAAGTAGCATCTTTATTAGTGGGAGTTGTTACCATATACATAAACACTGTATAAAAGCAAATTTATCAAGAGACTTGGGTTTCCAAAATAGGTTTCATTTACTAATAGAACTGATTTTCTCAATTAATGCAGACTGGGTTGCTGAAGGCACCTCCCCATCAGATTACACAAAAGCATTACAGCTCAATACAACTTTTGCCTTTGATCAGTAATTAAAACCCGTATAAAAATCTACATCCTGCCAAAATTTTTGGCAGGTATCAGCCATGACTAAAAATGTAAAGGAAAATAGGTGTCCCAAAGCCTATAACTAAAAAAAATTACTCCTTTATGCCCGACTTTAGATTAAAAGCTTTTAAGGGACAATTATGACAACAAACAGAAATACTACCTCTAAATAACCAGAAAAAACTTGTATGTCCAAAAATAGGAAAATCACGAAGCAAAGTATGGAATAACAACTCAGTGGAACATAATGCAGCTATTAAAATTGTTATAAATAACTATAATAAAATGTTAAGGAAAAAATAGCAGAAAATTATATACATTTCTCTACTTACATCTACATTAAAAAACACATTTATGTGAAAAAAATGGGTTAGGGTAGTTGGTTAATGGGTGAATCTATGTAAAGGTTCTGAAAAAAAAAATCATTTATATATAATAACTCACTTCTCAAGAATCCAGATAAATATTATTGTACTTAGCAATGTAATCCTCAAGAAGCACAAAGTGAGAGTTTAATTTTGTAAAAACATTTGAGTTAGTCACGTTTTTCTTCTCTACAAAAACAAAAATGAAAAGACAATGGTATCCCAATCTGGTCCATTAGGAGGTAAAATATACTCAAAGGAAAACAACAATTAATTATTGCTATTGTCCATACACATCAGTAAAATTTAAACTTTTACCTAAATGTCTACAGAAAATCTTTAATATTTTAAATATTAAGAATGCAACTGACGCTTGGCTCCCAACTGAGACTGGAGCCAAGATCACATCAGACCCTCCGGAGTCCCCTGCAAAAGAGACCCTTGCTTTGCCTGGCAGTCCCCGGAGAGGCTGAGAGAGGCCACCATGGCAGGATCCCTTCTCTTGCCCCTGCAGATCCTACTACTGACCTTAGTCCTGGGATCTGCTGGCCAAGGTGACAAGTGCGGGGAGAAGATTATTGATGGAGTCCCATGTACAAGAGGCTCCCAACCCTGGCAGGTGGCCCGGCTCAGAGGCAATCAGCTCCACTGTGGAGGTGTGCTGCTCAATGAACAGTGGGTGCTCACTGCTGCCCACTGCATGATGAGTGAATACAACGTGCACATGGGCAGTGATCAGCTGGGTGATAACAGAGCTCAGAAGATCCGGGCCACAAGGTCATTCCGCCACCCCGGATACTCCACTCAGACCCATGTTAATGACCTCATGCTTGTGAAGCTAAGTAGACGAGCCAGGCTATCGAGTGTGAGGAAAGTCAACCTGCCCTCCCGCTGTGAACCCCCTGGGACCACATGCACCGTTTCTGGCTGGGGCACCACCACCAGCCCTGATGTGACCTTTCCATCAGAGCTCATGTGCACGGATGTCAAGCTCATCTCCTCCCAGGATTGCAAGAAGGTTTACAAGGACCTACTGGGAAAATCCATGCTGTGTGCTGGCATCCCCAACTCCAAGACCAACGCCTGCAACGGTGATTCAGGGGGACCACTGATGTGCAAAGGTACCCTGCAAGGCCTGGTGTCCTGGGGAACTTTCCCTTGTGGCCAACCCAATGACCCAGGTGTCTATACCCAAGTCTGCAAGTATGTCAGATGGATAAATGAGACCATGAGAAAGCATTGCTAATCTCTGCATCCCTCCCATCTCTCCATCCATACGCCCTCAACAAGAAATTCAGAGAAATAAGGATGTGATGAACTGTAGTCATATTTGACTTTACCTTTCCTCAAAGACGTATTAAAACCTCAACAATACGCCTTATGTGTAAACCAATCAAGTTAGCAAAGACCTAAAACCAGCATGAAACACAGAAACCTCAGTGCTGACAAAGACGCAGTGAGACCAGCACTCTCAACCAGTGGAATTGTAAATTGTGCCATTTTTATGGAAGGCAGTTTGGCATGGTGGATTGAGACCCTTATTTACCAGGTCGTTGACCCTGTGATTCTAGTTGAGGAAGATACTACTCAAAAAAAAAAAAAATCCAAAGTGCGGAGCAAAGTTTGAATTCATCACATTATTTATCATAGCAAAACAGTGGAAACACTGAACATGTCCCAAATTAGTGGCTTGTTTATGTAAACAATAGGCCTGTTTGGGACAGGGATATTAGGAAGCTGTTCAGGATAATAACTTTGCAGAATTGTTAGTGTTATGCAAGAATGTTTGTGTTATATGATGGAACAAGAAAAAAGAAAGATACAAACGGGTATGTGACTCTAGCCGTGTAAAATGAAATGTTTACAGAATAAAATCTGAAAAGACACACATACACACACACAAAAAAAAGAATGCAACTAAAATGAAATCAATTTGCTTTCTCCAAAGAACCACATCTTTGATAAGAATCCTTTTTTCAAATGAAGTAGTTTGTTTTATTATGTTACTCTAGCTGCCATGGCCTCCTAATGCCCTGCCATAAGAGGCACTCTCCAGGAATGTTAATATTCATGAAGCTTATGTAAATGCTACTGTTTTAAAATAATAAAGACATTCACAAATTAAATTATTCAACTTCGGTTTATAACTTATAAATAGAAGTCAGATAGAATTATTGAGATATACCTTCTAATCTGAGTGATGTTCTACCATGAGAACACAGAGACGACCATTTCGACACTGCAGAACCACTGGATGCACTACTTCCCCATTCACTGACTATCTATGGGGCAAAATGCAGCACTTCCTCTCCCTACTACACCCACTTGAGAGGTGGCATGGCAGAGACAGCATGGGACCAACAGGCAGAGAAGTGTTGTTCTAATGCTGGCCTTGCCAATTTTTAAAAACTTTTAATTATGGGAATGTTGTTTAATCTTTATTTGCCTCACTGTCCTTAAAAAAAATACTGTCTAGCCAACTTGTTTTAATAAACCAAGATATTAATACAAGAGAAAGCACAAATGCAAGATGCTATTGTGGGATGGGGGAAGGATACATCTATCTACCTTGATGTAATTTTGTGAATATGTAATCAATTGGTTTTCCTAAGTTTCCTGAGATCTACAATAAAATCTAAAATTTGTAGATGCAATGATAGAAATAATTGCAATTCTTCTAAAAGAACAGCCTGAGGAACTCCTCTAAGATTATGTTCTCAACACCAGAAGGAGCTATTGAGATGAAATTATGCTATATACAGAAAGGACTAGCAATAAAACAAGTATGTTCTGAAGGAAACAGCTAAGGCTAGCAAAAAGAAAAAAAAAAACCCAAACATGTTAACATAAGAAACTTTCTCTGAAGCATGAAAAAACAAAGGGGGGGACGGACATGAGGTCAGTGAATGCATTTTTGTTACTTACTTGAGGAGAATAAATAAATTTCCTATTACTGACTACTTTATACTATTGTAATTTTAACCATTAAACAATTAATTCTATGAAATAAAAGAGCAACTGACTTTATTTTAAGGGTTCCAGCATCCCACAGCCAAAAACAAATAGTGCCATCTGCCCCAGTAGAAGACAGATATCTCTTTGAGCCACTGCACAATGGTGAGAACTGAAAAACAAATGAAGAAAAAAATATCTTTATAAGAGTGACATAATCCAAAAATAAACCCACTTTTTACCATATAGATAGCAACTATAAAAACAGAAAACATCCAGAATTAATGAAGGTCATGACTACAATGTTTTTTTAAAGTCCATGTATTTATAAAGAAGAAATATTCCTTTCTTCATTTTAGTTGGCTTTATTACAAGAGATTATAAAAGTGACTTAAAATTTAAATTATAATCAAGGCTTTTACAGGGATTAAAACAATTACCTGTAGTGATGTTATAGATGCACTGTGGCCCTGAAGAACAGCCAAAGGTGCACACGTTCGAAGACACCAGACTCGGATCATTTTATCACAACTTCCAGCTGCTATCATGGTATTCTCATAGTTTACAGCCATGTCTGATATTTCAGCAGCATGTCCTCTTAAAGTAGCTAATAATCTCCCATCATCTGTTGCCCAGATTTTCACAAGACAGTCATCAGAACCCTTAAAATAAAAATGTGTATTAATGGAATTAACTCTATAAATTTTCATTCAAATTCTGAACAGATGTAAGAAACTGTATCTTTAATGTCCACTTCCCAACAATTACATTTTTAAATACTTAAGTGTGAAATACTTGTTTCAGGAATTTTCCTCCATACAAGGCTATTTTTATTAAATTATTCACTTATAAAAAATGCCTGTGTATCCACCAATCTAACAGGAGAAGTAGGATGTTAACAAAAATGTTTACATATGATCCCTACCCAGCAGCCATGGTAACCTCTATCTGGGATCTTGTGAAAGAATTTGAACTTCTGAAGTAACAAAACAAAATTACAATAGTAGAACAAAAGTAATATACAATAGTGACTAATCCTGTCTATGTTATTATGTTATACAAAAATGAAAGTAAGCTAATTTGGGGTTTTTTCTCCTAGGAAGCTAAAAACAATATATATGAATTTCCCATCAGTGATCTTCAGCTAAATATATTACATATAAAATAACTAAAGCCAGTTTTCAAAAAAAAAATTAATTTTATCTGTACGAAGGCAATAAAAATACCTAAATCACATTTTTTTAAAAAGATTTTATTTATTTTTTGACAGAGAGAGACAGACAGCAAAAGAGGGAACACAAGCAGGGGGAGTGGGAGAGGGAGAAGCAGGCTTCCTGTGGAGCAGGGAGCCCGATGCGGGACTTGATCCTAGGACGCTGGGATCATGACCTGAGCTGAAGGCAGATGCTCAATGACTGAGCCACCCAGGCGCCCCCTAAATTACATGTTTACTCTGCTATAATAGCGTAAGCTCAGAGAGAAACTGTAAAAGATACAAAAGGTTTTCTATGAATACCTATATTTACAAATAAACATTTGAGTTTCACATAATCAAAAAGAGATTAGAACTTTTAGGCTCTATTACGTTTTCCTTTTCTAATTTTCCTTATTCATTTTATAGCTGTAAATTTATACTCTTTTACCAAACTCTCCCTATTTCCTCCTATTGTTCATTATTTGAAAGGTTTTAAATACACAAAAAAGTAGAGAACAGTGTCACTAGCCTCATATATCCATTTCCCAGATGCAAACTTATCAACAGGTTTCAAAGGTGGCATGTTACAACCTTCCAATCTAAATCTTAAAAACAAAACAAAAAACTCTTAAATCTGACATCAGAAAGCGGTTAGAAGATCCACAAAAGCGAATGACACAGATGTGTTATTGCCTTCATACTGATATAACCACACAGTATTAACAGAACATGTGTATCCTAAACCAGATTCTGCCAATACTACCTAGAATACTTTCAATTAACTCACGTTCTTCTGACTGAGCTTTGAAGCAAATTAAGTGGGTTATCAACCACGAAAGACTAGTAATAAAACTTAACTTTGGTAAATTATCTACATTAAAATCTGGTATTCTTATCACATTCATTTAATCTCAGTTTTTTATCTATAAAACAAGGTTAACTGGATGATCCCTAAGGTTCCTTCTACCTTTAAAATTCAGTTATTCATGCACTCATTTTTTTATTTGCCTTGAGATTAAATACACGCCAAACACCAGAGATACAAAGATGAGATGCAAAGACGTAGTATTCCTGTCCTCAGGAAGCAAGGCAGAAGAGTATAAATGCAATAACATGTCCAAAGTGCTATACTGTTAATCAGAAAAGATCCAAACCAGGGAGCAGTGTGTTTGTCCTAAGAAGCGAAGAAAAAGGATCTGGATCTGGAAAAGAATCCAGAAACAGTGATGTCTGGACAAAGTCTTCTGCATGAAGAGGCAATGTAGTGTAGTAGCCTTGAGCACAGACTGCAGGAGCAAATGTCTCAGTTCATGACCTGTTTAACATGTTTAACATTAACACTGGGCAAGTTACATGTTTCCTATGCCTCAGATTTCTTTTCTATCTGTATCTCATAAGGTTGTTGCAAAAACAAAATGAGTAAGTGAGGATGGAGTGCCTGGCATATGGTAAGAGCTATGGATTATAACCACTGCTTTTGTTGGTGGTAGTATTCTTACTTTTACTTTAGCAATATTCTTACTATTTTAAAAAGAACAGAAATATCCCATATGGCTGCTAGAGAGAAAAGTTTGACCAAAGGCATGAAAATGTGAATATGAGAACTGCAAGTAGTCTATATGCTAACACAGTGAAAAGTAAAGGCATGAGGATGAAGTAAGGGAAAGACTGTGAAGGACCTTTTATGGTATACTAAGAAATGATGTTTTAAAATGGGGATAACTTAAGATTAAGATCAGTATCAGGATCAGATTTATGTTTTCCAAAGATCCTGCTGGCATCAGTGTGAATTAGGATAGAAAGTCAGAGGCCATCTGAAAGTTGTTAAAGTAGTACAGGTAGGAGAGAATGAGTGATAAAACTGAGATTATTACAGAAGAGAAAGAGCAAAAGAGATGGATACAATAACTGTTTCGGGAATTAAAGGAATGAGGATTATATCGCAGCTATCTGTGGAAAGTGAAGAAGGAACTGTAATAGACCATGACTTCCAGAAAGCTGATCTGCCTACCACTTGGCACATGGGAACTGCATTAGCGCATTTGTTGAATAAAAAAATGGCTTTAAAGCATTTACTTATTTATTAAATTCATTTACTCAACTCCCTCTTAAATTCCACAAATTAAGTCAATTTATTCACTTTGTTTATCTTCTAAAAATTACGGCAGTATTTGGCTCTGATCTAAATTCACAACAAAAATAGGGGTGCCTGGCTGGCTCAGTCAGTAGAGCATGCGACTCTTGATTTTGGGGTTGTGAGTTTGAGCCCCGAGTTGGGGACAGAGGTTACTTAAAAAATAATAATAAATAAATAAAGCTTATAAATTCACAACAAAAATAAAATTTTAAGTGTACTAATACCGGTAGAATATATGAAAAAGTAAAATCATGACATCTCATTATGCTTCACAATACTGACAGAATTCATTTTGTTCTTATTTGAACAAGAATTTGCTTTATATTGTACTATAGAAGGTGTTTCACATATTTTTCATGTTAACAGGAAAAAAACAAAAACCAAACACCTTTTAACCAAAATGCCAGGTTTAATGAAGAGTAGTAGCAACCTGTGATCTAACATCAGCATTCAGTGACTTTTCACCAAGTAAAATCCAACAAGAAGTCCTATTATATTTGTATTGACTTTATTACTTAGTAATCTCACCAATTTAATATAGTTTAATATTTTATAATTTTTCTCTATTTAGACAAGTGCTAAAATAAAACAACACTATGCACATTTTCTCCAAGTGTGTATTATTCCAACTGACCTTTGTTTTCTTCCATTCACCTGCAGAAGAGAAATATTTGACCTTTTAGGGAAATCTTTCTTCACTATTCTCTTCCATGACCTATAAAATAATATGTTGTCCCCACCTTCACTCCTACTCCCCTGAGCTCCTGGCAGAATTTCAAACAGAACTCAAAAGCATCCTTAGACAATTTCTATTTCATGCATCAATACTTGTGATCACTAATTTATTTTTAAGGGAATGTGAAACTGAAGATGATCTGCCAGATTCAACTAAATTCTTTTAAAATGACTATCAGAAATATAAATACACTATAAACAATAGACTGAAAAGGACTGCACAAGAAAAATTAAATTTACTGGGAAAACATTTTTGGAGCACTATACATTTGTTTAAATTGAATGCGGAAGAATAAATTAAAAACTGATGAAATATTCTTTAAAAAAAAAAAGACAAAATGTAGAGCAGAATCTGAACAGATGCACTTTCTTTCCCAAGCCTACCTGAAATTTAAGTCAGGTCAGTAACAAACCAAAGAGTAGACATCACAGTATTTCAATCAGGGTGTTAAAAGTGTTACGGACACTAAAATAAAACCAATACCAATGTTATGTAAATGTGAAAGGGACAAGATGAACAACATAGACATGGGGGTTGGCCTGGGCTAGGCGGAATACATAGGCTTCTAAGATGTATGAAGGAGAAAGAGGTATTGTAGAAATAACAATTTTAAAGTAAACAGGAAAGAAATTAGATGATTCCTAACCTTGGCAATAAAACAAGTATCTGAGGATTATTTCCTAAAATGGGAGAAGGGGGAAACGAAAGGAGCCAAAAAAAAAGTGAATAAAGTTCAGAAATAAAGTGGGATGAGAGGAATAAGGAAAAAGGAAAAAAATCTGTGAGCAAAAGTGAAAGTTCTACTAAAATTAGATAGCATGATTTTAGAAAAACCACAACTGACAAGTTTTTTCAGCAAAGCTCCAATGCCTAGGGGAAAACAGAGTAGTCATTTCTCTTCAATTATCTAAATATTGCTCTTAGGACTGGAAAAGTGAGAAAAGCTGGAAGTTTATTTCCACTTTAAGTGGAAATAACAAGAAATTAAGCTGGAAAGGTTTTATCTGAGGAAGATTGAGGGTTTTAGATACTGTTAAGATGTTTGGATTTAACCCAGTGAGACAGCTACTGAATTTTAAGCAGACAAGACTTGGTTACTATAGTTATTTTTAGCCACAATTAAGTTTGAAGAAATCCATGAGCTAGATGCAAAACTGAAAATGCTTTTTTGGAATTCATTTTTAAATCAAATTTAAATTATTAAACTAGTGTTCAATGCCAAGCAAACATAAGACAGCAGTGTATCACTAGTTTCACTCTTCAATAATGTAAAATTGTCATAATTATTATGAAAGTGTGCTCAATTAATGTTACCATTTGTCAAACTTGCATAAAAAAATCTGAAAAAAAAATCACAATGAAAAGAATGTATACCTTTAGCTTACTTAAATCTCCAAGTAAAATGTGACACCAAATTTTCAGTGATTTTTTTTTTTTTAATGTGAAGACATCATTGTCAATGCAAGGATAAAGCCAAAGAAGCAAAAACAATTACCTTATCTCTATTCTGAAAAAACAGCAGTATAGGTATTATTTATGAAAAGGCCTGGTAAGAAAGAGTGGACTTCAACAAAACTTAGATTTGCCTAAACAG